CTGAAGCAAGCCAGTTTTTTCTTATGTGTTTAAAAGAACTAGTTTAGTTTTAGATTTCTAGATTTAGATCAGAGAAGTTAAAGAATCCATAAACTGTAAAAGTTTAAGTCATCAACAAACAAACTCTGACAGAATATAAATCTGGTGCTCTTCTATGGTTTTTTTTTTGTTATCAACAAATCAAAATGTGATGAGTGAAACTATAAACAATCTGTCAATACTGTCTCTACTGTGTAGAGTCTCTCAGGTCTGAACCCATTGGTTCCTACTAATCTTTAAAAACACAAATATACAGTTTCAAGTTTAGAAAAGTTCTCAGTAATTTCCTAACATAGCTGCTTGCTTTAGTTTTTAATCAAACAGAGGAAATAGAGACTTCTTTGGGGAATATTTTCATACATTATGTGTATATGGACCAAACTGTTCTGGGAGCTCCCCGAGAGTTTGTTTGCAATAACTTCCATACAGAAAACCCCCCACGTCACTTATGTACAATGAAACAGAGCTGAGCAATGCCTCAATTGGTTAAAATTTTAGCCACCAAACAAGAACCACTGTATTAAAAAACTAGAATTCTTGCCCTGTGGTTGTATGCCTCTGTGCACAAGTGAAGTTGCACTTCCAGTTTACATCTATGTCTGTGAAAACATGGATGCTTCACACACATCTTCCCCCTGACAGCACAGAAGATCTATACAATCAGCACAATTTCAAGATCAGAGTCACCAATTCAGTATCTAACCAACTGTCTCCCCTTCTGTTCCTGAGATATGATGATCCATCCTTGACTGAAAGGAAGGTGTTCTTGTGATATCATGTTCTCAAGAATTAAACAGATGAGGTCACAGTGACCTGTGACCACCAAAATCTAATCAGTTCATCCTTGAGTCCAAGTGAAAATTTTTTGCTGAATTTGAAGAAATTCCCTCAAGACATTTTTGAGATATAGTGTTTAGCATAGACAGATGGATGGGTGGACAACCAGAAAACACAATCCCTCTGGCTGCAGCTATTGCCAAGCCTGGAAATCCAGACCCAAATCAAGAAAGATTTAGGGTCTGGCTATGAGTAATGCAAATGGCCCAACTCGGGGGGCGGCACCAAGCATGCATTTGTAAATATCACTGCACGCAATTGGATAACACTACGACCAATCAGAACAATACACGGGGTGACGTATCCAAAGCTTAGCTACCAGTGGAGCTAACTGGTAGATTAGACTCTTGCCGTATCTGGTCGGCAAAACAGCAAAAACGTCCTTCTTGCAAAGGAAAGATTCAAGCGCCGTCTTCTGTTCCTCTTTTAGAGAAAAAGCCAAGTCTAACTCGTTCATTGTAGCGGCCAAAGCCGTTTCAAACAACTGGTGTTCATCCGTAGCCATCTTGCAATGTTTACTGACTGATTCAAGAATTAGTCGTAGCAGAACTGTCGTAATCTGTTTAGCTAGCCTCTGGCCCACCTATATCAGATACACCGATGTGATTGGTGCAGCTCGGCTCAAAGGGCATGGGTAATGAGCATCATTACTGATTGCCAGAGTGACTCGCTGAGCAAATTCAAATTGTGTTCTCGCGAGAACTCTGGATTTCCTGGGTAGCTATTGCCTGCATGAAGGTATAAAAAGCAACTAATCATCACATTAATAATTTTGATGGATTTCTAGGTAAAGGTGGGCAATATGGCTAAAAATGTCACATATCATCACAATAAAATACTTCATATCAGCCAATATCAATAATTATCTAAGAAAGTCTTAATCTTTATTTTTTCAAGTTTAAAGGCTGATTTTTCCTCCTGAGTTAAATTTGAAGAAGCCAGATGGTTAATTTTGGTTTATCTGAGGCAAATTCAAAACAAATTTAACGAAATACCTTCAATAAATAAAACATTAAATAGACAAAGAAGTCTTGATTCTGTTTAGCAGCGTGTCCAACTCTTTGCACAGACAGTTTAAACATTTAAACAAGTGTTTTAGCTGACAACGGAATCAATAAACAGACATAACTAAACTCTCAGCTGTGGTCTGTGTTTTCTGTACAAGTTTCAAATGCACAGTATTAATTTTAGCAGTTTCTCAACCAGGTGAGCAACTCCATCGGAATGAATAGGCACCATCTTGGCATCCAGTATCTAGTAATGATGAAAAAAATCTTTAGGCTGGTCTTATCTTTTTCTTCTTCTCCAACTTCTGCTACTGCTGCTACTGCTGCTGCTGCTGCTCCTTCTTCTTCTGGTTAATAGCGGATGGAGACTGGTGTTTCATGAGCATTACCGCCCCCCTATATGGGTGTATGCCTTGTTTAATTATATGGAGGATTTATTGAACATTTATTATATTGAACATATGGAACATTTATTATATCTCTATATTTATTATATGCAACTAGGGGAAACACTGCAATTCTTGCGCACTTGGAGGCGCTTGGGTCAATTTAGGAACTACTTTTCTGAGGCTGACTCCTGGCACAGAGACAAGACATGGATAGACCCAGTGCCTGACAATCTACATCCATCTAAGGATAGATAAGCTGTCTGCGACTCATCAGGGTCAGACATCTCACTAACGTGAGAGTAGGCCTATAAGTGCCATCCACAGATGGCTTGAGGATTCACTGTCCCCTTACAAGTATGTTTAAAAAAAACATGAATCTGTCCATTATTTTAATAGTTTAGTATTGTATGGAAGATAACAGGTATGTTTATGCATGGCAGTAGCACTAATAGGCCATCACTCACTTTTGTTTGCACATTTATGTTTAAAATAGAAACGTCAATTTGAATAGCTTGCATGCTTGATTATCATGCAATTGACAGACAGTGTTGATTTTGGCATTGGTATCAGCTGACGAGATATGTTTATAAATGGCAGTGGCAAGGCCACCCTACTCACTGTACCTTGCACATGTTTAAAATAAAAACATGAATATATGAACCTGTGTATCATCTGAATAGCTTAATGCACAAGAACAAGGTGTGTTTATACATGGTACTAGGCCCAGATAATATAAAACACAATTTAATATATAATATATATAGTAGGGGGTCCCTGCTCCATCTCTCCATCAGTTTGGGGTCCTTGGCCTGAAAACTGTTGAAGACCTCTGTGTTAGAGTAATCCTTTAAGAACAAAAAAGTAAACTTTCTCAGATTCCAGCTTCTTAAATGTGAATAGTCTTAGTCTCTGGTTTCTTTACTCGTCTATGATAAACTGAATTGGGGTTGTTGACAAAACAAGACGTGAGGATGTCATGCTGAGCTTTGGGAAACACTGATAAACATTTTCTAAATATTTTCTGACAACTGACTCAAAAACCTATCAGCTGATAACTAATAAACTAATTAGCAATGAAAATGATCTTTAGCTGCAGCCCAAGTTCATGGTAACGAAAGAACAAGTCATCCAGTGCAACACTGTGACTTATAGACTGAATCATTGGGACGTCAAGCTCAAAACAATAATCACTTCTGGGTAGACCACAGGCAATCGATTTGAATTTAGGAGATTTGTAAACATAGTGAAACATGGTGGTCGGACCTGTCTGATGTTTCTGCCATGCTTATTGTAAACTACTGTGTTGCTTTGCTTTTATCTTTGATTAACCAAATCTATCAGCACGACAGCTGAACAATGTCCTGCTGTTGACAGGGCCACAGCAAAACACTTTTAACTTCCTAAAATAATCAGTGTCAGTTTGCAGTCAGTGCACACTACATTTAGAATATTGTAACACTTTACCTTACTCCTCAGCACTGAGTTGCAGCAGCTGACCAGCAACTCCAGTGTTCTACAAAGTAAAATGACTGTTTTTATTGGTGGAGTCTGGTGCCTTTTATATTACAGCTTCAGTTTCCAGTCAGATAAACTGTCTGACAGCGAGGAAAAGCACTGGGAATATTCTAAATATAGCGCTTAGACTGATACCAAATTTATTGGGTGGGCCTTTTTAGGTGGCTTAAAAACTAAGTAACTGATGAAGTGTCTGCTCAGCACCATTTGATTTTAATGTACGTGACGCAAGGATTTTCTACCTGGAAGTACTGTAGATGAACATTGTGATTCAGTCTATGTCGTATAGTTGTGACATCACAACTTCACAAAAATCCTGACAGCTCATTTAAAGGCACAGTGTCTAAATACAGACTGACAGTATTTCTCTGTGGACTGAGTGCCTTGATACTTTCACAGTTTTTATATCAGTGCACCTATATCTGCTCTGTTTTTTAAGAGACATGGAAATCTGACTTTTCACAATATAGATGGTGCAATCAGCGTAACTATAAGATCGGACTTAAAACGCCAAGTTATGACCAGTTTAGCTTCAGACCAGGCATTAGCCCTGTTGGTGCAACTGGCCCCAGCAGACTGTGGTTCCTGTTTGATGTATCCACGAGTTCTTATTCATATAGGCTGAACATACACACATACACACAGGGTACTCCTTCATTTAACCTCGCCCTGTTTCTCCACCCTGTAATTAACTCTAAAATAGAGCTCAGTTAAAGTGAGGAGTGGTCAACACACACACACACACACACACACACACACACACACACACAGACTGTAACACAGAGGCCTTGAACTGACACACAGCCTTTAGTGAGCAACATGGCTGCTTCAGCAGGTTAAACCTTTCTTACACTGTACAGGTGTTGTTGGTGACCTCATGTTTCTGTTGTCATGGCGACTACACTGATATGACATTGATAGATATGACTAGTACTCTTTAGTATGACTGACTGAATGAATGAATGACCGCAGCAGCGGTCATCATCAGGGAGCAGTTCATGAGCCTCCATCATTTCTCTGCTTCATCCTGCTGCCACAGTCGTCATGACAACAGAAACACAGAGATGTGTCAATGACAACAGCTGGATCACGTGATCAGCTTCACCGTGACAGAGAGCAAATCAGATAAATAAATAAGAATGTGACCTCTGACCTCCACTCTGAGGTGAACGGTGACGCGTTCAGGTGTAAACAGGATGTTGTTGTGTCTCACCTGGACAGTCGGTGGCTTTCCCGGGCCCACAGTCCACACTGCTGCTGCCTCCACTGCGGGGGAACGAGCTCCGGACGGCGGCGGGGAGAACCAGCAGAACCAGCAGGCAGCAGAACCAGGAGAACCGGCACTCTGGAGCCATGATGGAGGCCGGTGGGAGGGAGGAGTAAAGCACAGAGAGGCAGATGGAGGGGAGCGGTTGGGATTGAAAGGTATGAATTAAAGGGAGATAAAGGGATAGATGGAGCTCAGTGGAGGTGAAGAGGAGGAGATAGGGAGGTACAGGTTTATGGAGATAAATACAGATATATCTTAAAACAGAGCGACAGATGTGTATGTGTAGGGATAGACAGGTGTACAAAGAGAGGGGGATGAGGAGAAGGAGGATAAAAAGGTACAAAGAGAGGAAAATAAATAAAAAGAATGTGTTTTTTTCTGGATTGGTCCTTTAATAGAAAAACACGGCGCAGTATGAAACGTTGTGGGCTTAGATCCTAATGCTGTCCATGTGTTTTCACCTCCTCTCTCCAAAAACTCCTTCCAGTGTCTCTCAGGAGAAAAGCTCCATGGTGAACCAGGGAACAAACAGACTGGAAAACACGATGAGAAAGCCGGGAGGAAGGCTGCTGACTGGAGCCCGGGATAACAAAGCAAAGCAGGGCCTGGGGCTTCTTCTCACACCGACCCCCCACACCTCCACACCACCCCCTTAAACCAGTCTGCTCACAGCCCGGACTGAGCCTCCATCCCCCAGCCCCGCTGCCTCGCACTCAAACCGGGCGGGGAGAACCGCGGATCGCCGCGGACAAAAAGATCCAGGTAAAAGTCCGAAGGGGCTTCCAGCAGCATCCAGACCGAAGCGCAGCGACAATTGACGAAGGCTATGCAGTAGGTCGGTTGGACCGGGACTTTTTCCTGTCCTCCTGCTCTTTCTCCTGTGAATCTAATCAACAAAGGCTCAGACCACGTGACCTGTAGGAGACCACTCCCACAGAGAGAGAGGAACAACTACACATCCTGCACGCTCTCCCCTGAATGGGTAAGGGCTTCTGTTTGCTGTTGACCTCATCCATCTGCCCGAATAATGAGTCAATACATAATAATCTTTTTTTATTTATTTATTTATTTATTTTTTTTAACTTAGGTAGTTATACATTGTCACCCTCCATTTTCTGTCTGTGCTTTGAGCTGCTGTGACGCGAATTTCCCAGGTGTGGGATTAAAATTTTTTTTATCTTATAAAACATAATGCAAAAATTATCCTCCTAATCTTCCTAATCCTCTCATACCTGCTGATATCTAACCCTCTGCTCAGTAAGAGCCGGCCCCACACAAAAAGGTTCAAAGTCATTTGTTGTCAAATAAACAAGTCCCGGCCATTGAAAAACTTGTTATAATAATAATAATAATAATAAGGAGAAGAAGAAGAAGAAGAAGAAGAAGATTGAAGTATAATAACAATAATAATAATAAATTATAATAATAATGTAATATAATAAAGAATCACAGCAGTAGAAATAAAGAGGAGAATCTAAGTATATGAAATAGTGGAGTTAAAATAAAGCCTTTGTCGCCCATTCTTGAAAGCTCGGACAAATTTTGTTCTACAAAAAAAAAAAAAAACACCTTAGAATGATGACCTATAAACACACCAATTCTGTTTCGAGAGTGAAACATTATTTTTTAAGGAATTATTTTGAATAGAGTAAATAGGATTTATAAAATATTTCGATCTGTTTGCATTTTTTTTAGCTTGCCCTGTGTCAGAAAACAGCCCTGTCCCACACAAGAATTCACAACTTCCTACAATTTAAAAAATGTATTAAAGGCCCTCAAAATCTAAACCTAACAGTAAATACTATTAACATAGGTGTCAAAATGTACTGCTATAATTATCTCTGTTTTACAATATATTTTTATGAAAATGTTGGCCCTTTAAAGATGTGTCCCAGATTTTTGTCATTTCCTGTCACATATCCACAAAAACATCATTTGATCAGGTATAAAAGAGGTTAGCTATACCTCAATGACTCCTGTCTCACTTCCTGGTTTCAGATAGGAGCCTCTGAGCTGGAAGCTCTCACCCATAAAACAATATCAGCAGTGACATGAGACAATAACTAAATAAAAACTTAAATTAACAACATTTGGTGCCATTTTTACCAACAAATACTGACAACACACTGGATGTTTCAACCAGTTTGGAATTGACTGTGTCACTACAAATGATCATATTAAGAAGTTCCACATGAGAAATAATACAAATTAATTCAAGTATAAACCCTTGTATATGAAATGTCACGGTGATAATAATCAATTAAAGAAAAAACTAAGACTAAAGTTGTGCTTCAAACTAAAGTTGTGCTGATTTCTGGTTTTGGTTCCTGTCAACATGTTTACGTTATGTTGCCTTTTTCTTGGTCAATTTAATGTTAACATTTTAACACATTTTAAAACTGTGCTCCTTTTGTCTTTCTCATCTGATCACTGTACCAGACTTAATACAATGTTATTAGATATTTGTAATAGCCTAAATGTTTGCTCCTCTCCATATATGACTGCCATGTTTTAGGTTGTGTCACATCTTTTCTTACACATGAAGACAGGTTAGATCCAGCCCTTTACAATGAGACTACAACACTAAAATATGCATCATACCTTCACCAGATCGATCGAAACATCCTGAGAAGAACCGTTCATAGGGTTAGGGAGTAAGAGACAAATACTGTATTCACTGTAGTCTATTCAAAGATCATGTTGCTGCTAATAGGTCCCAGTTTAGGATTTACTGACTCACTGGATGTAGACTGTGGATTTAAGCATGCCATTGGCTGACTGTTTCAGCAGACATTCTCCCTCCCTCCTGCTATCTGCATACTGCTTTCATAATCTCATTCACTACAGGAAACAACAACCTCCAAGCTGACAACTTACACATTGAAAATGGCTTGACAAAGATTTGGATCATGCAATAAGACATGCCTGCTTTGTTTTTTAAATCAATTGTTGTTCAAATCTACAACAAATAAAACAACTTGTTAACGCACCTTGAAGCCCAGATTCCGTCTCACAGGACTCTTAAGCCCAATGTTGATCTGTTTTCTGACACGGCCAGACAGAGTTGATTTGCCACATCTAACAATATCTGAGTTCTATCCTTTTTGCGCTGTGGTCTGATCCTGGACCATCATGAGCCCGCCCCCTGCCAGATCAGCAAACTTTTCTTGCCGGTGTCAATAGAGCAGCTCTCCTCCCAGTCTGCCAAGTTGGCACAAGCTAACACAGCAGCCGTAACACCCCACACTGAGCCATAATAGAGTCACAGCAATTTCACGCATTCACACAAAGAAACAGCTCGACTCTGTTGTGAACCCCGTTAATAATTGTTAAGAAATGTTAGCCATGTGATGCTAACACAGTCCTCTTAGGGCCATTGCTGCATCTGAGCTTAGCTCCTCCCAGGGTAATTGTGATTGGTTTAGAGAAACAAAAACAAGAAGGAGTGTGATCTTAATTCCAGACCTTTCTCAAAGCGCTACCCCACCACACAACACTAGTCTTCACATGGTTGTTTGTACATCATGTGTGATATTTGCAACAGTGCCATAAAAAGAACACATTTCAAAAGGAGGGCCCCAAACCAAATCCTGCTTAGGGCCACCAAAAGTCTAAGGCTGGCTCTGTTAGGAGTGAGCAAACTCCACCTAAGGCTGATGTGAATCCAACAATATGGAAGATGGAAGTCCTTTGAGCATCTTGTACAATAAGAATGAATTTCTGAAGAAAACTTACAAAATTCTGAAAAGTGCTCAGCAATTGATGAGTTAGGTGCACATATTTGTACATGAACACACGAGTCTGGTATATGTTCACATTGATAGCAAAACTGATAGCAGTTTGTATTTACTGAAAAGAGGAGCAGATGAATCAGATTTTTTAGCAAAGCTCGTCATTCTCAAAAATTTCTTTTGAATCAACAACATTGTATTGAGAAAAGTGAGACATGTGGCACCCTACACAGTGTTACAGTACATGATATATGGATAAATTAAGCTGTAATAAATAGTAATTTATCATTCGTTCATTTATCAATGAATATTCCAATTGACTTAAAAGTCTTTTTTACAGACAAATTCAATATGGTTTCCATGTTAATTTTTCATCTACTATGACTCCTAGGAATTTAATATGAGGAACCTGAGTAATTCTAATATTGTCTATGAATAATTTGGCTTCTTCTTTAGTATACTTTTTATTTTTGTTACAGAATATTATAAAATTAGATTTATTCATACTGTGAGAGATTTTGTTCATCTGAAAACATTTAGAGATTGATGATTGCTCTCCATTTGCTTCTCGAATCAGTGTGCTTAAATTTTCATGTGAGGCAATAAGACACATGTTATCAGCAAATAAAAGAGGCAGTACATTATTGCAGACCCCGGGTAAATCATTCATATATATCAAAAACAAGAGAGGTCCGAGGATGGAACCCTGAGGTACCCCACAAAACAGCTTAGCTCTATTTAAATTGTGCGTATTTAGAGATACATATTGTTCCCTGTCCGTTAAATAATCAATCAACCATTTAAGAGCAACATCATGAAAACCATATTTTTGTATTTTAGCAATAAGGATATTGTGATTGATGGTGTCAAAGGCTTTTGACAGGTCTAAGAATATACCAAGATCATTTTTTTGCTTTGTAAGGCTGTAGAGACTTTAAGAACAAACTGCAAAAGGGCCATTTCTGTTGACTTTTCTTTTTTTTTTTTCTCCCGAAAATCATACTGGTGGCTGTACAGTATGTTGCGCTCATCTAAATAATAATAATAATAATAATAATACATTTTATTTATACAGTGCTTTTACAGCTCTCAAAGATGTTTTTTAATTCTTGAATATACTAGTTTCTCTAAAACTTTAGAAAAAGTGGGTAAGACAGATATGGGACGATAGTTTGTAAATGTGCTAGAATCACCTGATTTAAATAGTGGAATGACTAGTGTCACTTGGTTCAACACCTGTTTTTAAGGATAAACTTAAAACATGAGTGAGGGGCTCAGCAATAGACAAAAGTACCTTCTTTACAAGACTAGATCTTATTTTATCACATACTTCTTTAGAGGTGGGGGGGTCAAACGTACCGATACAAGGATATTCACCAAGAGGGATTCATCTGTACTCTCTATATTTTTAGCTAAGGAAGGACCGATATTTACAAAGAAATCACTGAAACCATTTATGTCAAAAAGATAAGTGAAATTTCTCACACCATCAGATAATTGAGATGGGATAGTAGTGGAGGCTTTTTTCTTATTCAGTAATTCATTATTGAGGTAACATGTGTTTTTTATATCATTACGGGATTGTTTGAATTTTTCTGAATAGTAGTGTTTTTATGTTGTTTTTTTCTGCAGTATGGAGTAATTTTGTGAAATAATTCTTATATTTTCATAAACATCAATGTTAAATGGGGTGGGGCAAACAAAACATTTTTTATATAATTTATTCATTTTAATTGAAGCTCTTTGTAGACCTGGCATGATCCAGGGCTTTGAATTTTTTGGGTTACATTTCCTTTTTTATTTGAACAAGGGGAAAACATCTATCAAATATGGATGTAAATATTTTCATGAAAGTAAGGTAAGCCAATTCAGGATCCTGATTATTGAAGACCTCATCTCATGAGGCTTCCTTCATTCAAGCTATAAATAAGATTTCATTCTTTTTAGTGAACTTCGACATTTCATCCTTACGTCAGGTGTGTCTTGTTGATTGGTTTTGGTTAAAAAAAAAATTGAATTATTGGAAAATGATCAGAAATGTCAGGTTACAATAACCAAGAGCTGACTGTATGATCAAAATAATTTCTAAATATATTATCAATCAAAGTTGCAGATTTACTTGTTGTCCTGGTTGGTTTATAGATGAGAGGATGAAAAAAGGATACATAAAAAATATTCAGGAATTCAGTTAATAAATTAGAAGAATGCAC